AACCATGAATCAATCCTTATTTCATCCAGAACAACACATTCATTACATCGTCGAAGATTCAATGTCCACGATTCGAACCCTTCTAGATACATGCACGAAAGAATCAGTTCAAAATGGCCTTCTGATGAAGAGTTGTACTAGTGCGAAAGAATTGTTTCCTTTGCATCTCAGCTTAGCTTTAACATTATTGATTATGATCGATCGAACTGGTCAAATAGTGAATGAATCTTCTCCATACGTAGATAAATTAATGATGAATACATTGAAACACATTGAACAAGAAATAGTTGAATTAAAAACAAACATCGATGGATTGAACAAACAATGGAAAAAACTTAGGAAAGAAGTTGATATTCTCAAGAAAGAGAACGATCTTCTCGAAAAAGAACTAGAAGATGTGAAACAAAATCGTCGATATTTAGTTTCAAGCAAAGAGTACGAACTTGCTGCCCTTCGCAAGCGTAGGGCGAAGTTGGAAGAAGATCTTGAACAGAGACAATCTGATTTAGAGAGTAAAACGAAAAGTTTAAAAGGCAAAGAAGAAGAATACCAGCAAATGCGAGCATCAGAACAAAGGAGTTGGTGTGAAACATTTTCTGGTCATTTAAAAAACGTAACAGAAGAAGTTCATCATCTTTTGAAAACTTTCCTTTGTGTTTCGACATCGTATGATGAAAAACAAGTCATGAAAATGATTGAGGTCATCAATGAACAACAAATGATTCATCCGAAAGTCTTCGTATTCGATAATGACGTTTTCAAAATATCCAAAGACAAATTGTTGCAGCACTTGGACACTATCAAAGAACATGCAAGGAAATTAGAAGAAAGGGATACAATGCGTTTATTTATCGAATATTACAGTCACATTATGATGATAGCATTGAAATCGTTTGATAAATCATTGATCAACTGGAAAATATTTGTTCAACTATTAGAAACATCTGCTCTCCAGACATATGCAGATGAGAATAAGAAAAACATTGTTTGTCGTTTGGCACATATCACTTATGAACGATTTTTAGAATTCTTAGACAAACTCCGTTCGGGTCATGATCAAAACGAAATGATGAATCTTGCTCGAGAGATAGCTCTCGATATTCGTTCTAAGCTGAAAGAATTAGATTATACGATGACTGGCAAGTATAGTAGGCGGCTGACTCATCTATCTAGTGTCTTCGAACGGTTCATCGGTAACTTTCTTATCACTGGCTGTCGGTATTGTCAATTACAACGTGGATCTCGAGAACCACTGGATGATGTTCTTACCAGTATGAAAAATGACGACATTGATAAAGATCTGCCTCGAAATGAGGTTGATCTACTAAAATTACTTGAAACCTATGAAAATCAAATGAAAAGTCATAGTGAAGCATTTCTCTATCAGAACATACATCTGGCATTTGAATTCAACTCTAATTCATTCGGTCTATTCGATCAACTTGATCGTTCAATAAAAGTGTTAATACAATTAATTTTACCTTCTGCTTATCTTCTAAAACGAACTTGGATAACTGTTGATACACTTATTACTCAACTTCCATCATTTATTCTTCAACATGAACACGAAATTCTCAACAAAATTTGTAATCAGTTTCTACAATTAACAGAAGAAAGGTGTGGAATACAACATGAAAAATTATCGATAAAAGAATGGATCGATTCGAAATTACTTGAGTTCACATGGAAATATTTTCAAGAAGCAGACATTATTTTCATTAAAACGCGACCAAATATGAAAGTTTTTTTCGAAAGTCTTTGGAAACGATGGCATTCGACTATGAAAGCAATTTTAAAAGGTCTCATCGAAACTCAAAAAATTATATTGAATAATCGATTAGAAGCGAACAATCGAAAACAAAAATCATTTACTGAAGTATTATCTGCGAATGAAACAGAGCACAAAATCGTCTTAGCAGATATTGAACGTGTACTAACGTATAAAAATGTTCTACTTAACGATCTTCCAAGAGATCGAATTTCAATACTTTTGACTCGAATACAGTATCTTCAAACACTCTACTCTCTGATATTAGGTGGAGCAGACAGTCTGGAGGAAAAACTGATGCATTTATTAATCGAAAGAATGGACCAATTCACATTTTTTGAATTGACAAACACGACCAACGAACTATTCGATACAATCACAAGAGAACTGCTCGAGAAATCGTTACAAAATTTGATTACAAACCAACAATCTCTCGATGATTCATTCAAATTACTCGATGGAATGTATCGAATAGAAAAAAGTCTCTACAAAAATTCTTTCAACTTGTGTAAAGCAGCTTTGGAGAACACCCTCAGTAATCTGCTGAATTTAACCAACTGTCAAACTTTCCTCGATCAAACTGAGAAATTTAAAAATGAATGGTTGTCGGCCGGTGATGATTTCATCGATTATCGAACTCGTTATAGAAAAATGAAGAATCGAGGGATTAAGCAAACTGCAAAGGCGATTCGGAGACATGTTCAACAAAGTTTGAAATCGAAGAACCAAGAATTCAATCAAAGTTTCAAAGAGTTAATGCATGATATTAAAATCTTAATGAAACATGTACAAAAAGAGGAAAAAGAGATAATTTTTCTTGCAGATCAAGTTTTGCTTCTTAAAATAAATCAATTACACAGGCAATACCATTTTGAGTTTAAACTGGCTGAATTAGATATTTCGGGTTTGAAAAGTGACGATTCAATCATAATACTGACGATTGAATATTTGCGAGAATTGAAAGGTCAAAGTCAAAGAACTAGTATATGTTTTGAAGAATCGAATGATGGTCCCGATCAAGTTAGTAAGTCAATCAGTTACAGTATTACAGCGCAACATTTATCAATTAAATCAAAAATAAAATTGTCAAAAGTATCAGTCACCGTGGGAAACGAACAAGGGCCAAATGTGAACTTTACTGATTTAATCGAAAAGGGTCAAACATACGAAGTCGGTAATGTTTTGCGAATGACAGGTAGAAAGTCGTATAATAGGTGTTGGCTAGTGGAGGAAGAACAACGTTGTACTGATCGAAACATGAATAATTTTCTGGAGGAAACCTCGAAAAAGCTAGATAATTTAGAAGAAGACCTGAATGCCGAATCGAAACGGAAAAATGAACATGACATGTTTCGTAGGTCTACTGGAACCTCTCATTTCGAAATGTTGGTTTCCCGTGCTGAAACACTGATCAGAGAAACAAAATGTGTCGCATTATCGGAAAATGAGTTGAATTCTCCTCAAACCATACTGACTTATTTTCAAAAACTTCCTCTAGCAAAAAATCTAAGAATATCGATACCATCATTTTCATCACGTATATTGGTTCAATTACCGACAAATATGAAGTACGTGTCAGACGAAGACAGCAGTATTGATGATGACATACGATATGTTTGGAACCAGTCGATGACAAGAATTTATACAACGAGCTGCACAATTATGGTTGATATGATAGATAGATTCAATAATTTCATCGACCAACTACGTTTGACCAAAAGCCAACTTCTTTTATGCTATGCATGGTTGAATCAACTGTCCGAGAATGATTTATCAGCTGATGATCAAAGACACAATTCGATATTGATTAAGGAATGCCAAGAAATTTCCAAATTAGCACGCATGAATACTGATGCAAGTCGAAACACATTCGAGAAGCATCACGTGAATATGATTGAAGCGCAACGGTTACTAAAAACTGTGATACGTAAATCGAGCCATTGGTTGGAAGTAAATCGTCTTTCTGGCATTAAGTTCACGTCGGTAGAAGAAGATTTACTTAAATCTTTCTCCAATTCTGAATTGGCTCGTGACGCTCATGTTTGGTTGACTGATGCTGAAGGATCAACACCAACTGCAATACGATTATCATGCCATCCTGATCCTGTGTTGGTCGATTTTGGTGTTGCATTGTGTGGTATTCATCAACGATTGGTTCAACGAGTTTTTCTCCATAATGAATCTGCTTATAAATTGAAAGTTCATTTGGATCGGACAATCAACGATGAGTCTAGTTTTGATTTTTCAACTGAACTTATAACAGTCTCATCGAGAGATTTGTGTGAATTAGAAGTATTTTTCAAACCTTCAACTGAGCCTGGGATGTTTGAAGAAAAATGGAACCTTATAGTCGAAGGTGTTCGACCGTTTTCAGATGTTTTTCATGTTCACGCACAAATCACTAGAGCAAATGTTGAATTATCGAGTGAAACCGTTGATTTCGGATTTGTGCCGTGTTCTGGATTTGATTTGGACACAATTGTCAGTATTAAAAATGTTTCCTCACGTCCGGTTCGCATCAAAGCACGAGTACAGAATGCATCCGATGGTAGTGTTCAATCTAATGTAGCCATTGTCAAAAAAGATTTCACTTTGGATAGCGATGCAACGGAGTCATTTGAAATATCTCTCAAGTCCTCAACAGTCATCAGAGACATCGAAGCGTTGATTTGCTTGGCTGTTCAATCTCCGAAAAATTGTAAATGGATAACAGTTCATGCAAAGTTTCGTGAAACAAATCTGATAATTCGTTGTCAAGGGCGTAAAGTTCTTCACAACGCTCGTTCAGGATCTTTTACTATCGATGATTTTTATCCAGGTGAAGAACGTGAAATTCTCGTTGAATTTCAGAATAATGGTGAACTCGAATACACTATTCGAACATATTGGTCGCATACCAATCATATTTTCGATCGAATTCATTTAAAAACAGGAGAAACTGCTGGCTTCCGACAAAAGTTAAAAGTCAATACCAAAAATACGTTTGAAAACTTCTTACATAATGTCGAGTTTATTGGCATAAATCAGTCATGTCGATGGACTCTTCACTGTAATACTTCACAACCTAAATTAGAATATAGAAACTTGACTGGTACTCAAGAAGAAATGATCAAAATCACTTCATCGAATCAAATGAATACAACTTGGAGAAATAATCTTGATTTCGAGAAAGAAATATTGTTTAAAAATGTTGGCATATCACTGATTACTCTTTCTTTCCATCGGATTGTTTCACCTTCTATTCCTAAGCAACCATTGAAAGCAAATTTTCGTATGGAACCAAATGATCTGATTATTCCAACAGGGGCAGAGAAAATCGCAAAATTTATTTATCATGCTGTTGACTTTAGTAAATTTGAAGGAAACATAGAACTTCGTTCAAATTCAAAGAATATCCCGTCGAGTTTTCCGTTTCGAATAGGATTTTCTAGACCTTTCATAAAAGTGATCCCATACACGCTAATCAACCTTCGTAAAATTGACAAACAGCTCATAGCCAAGGAAAACATACTGGTATTCAAAAACATTGGTGAAGAATCTGCTCGTGTACATATGAAGGATCAGATTTCGAAGTCATCCATCGTTAAGAAAGTTGTTTGGAAAGATGCGGCAGGTAAAGCTCCAGTCGGTGACACTCACATTATTACGGTTCGTCAAGAGAAAAAGCTCAGCTTATCTATTGAGTGTGATCCAATACCGAATTCGAATGATTCTAATTTAATCGAATTAGTCGAGTTTGAATTTATTAGTCACAACGACCCGGTTACTGATCTCAATGGTAAATTAGCAGATCGTTCTTTAACTGTGTTAGTTATTGCAAATTTATCTACACCATCAAATTATACAGCGCCTAGTGATGCTCCTACACGAAGTTGGGAGTCAATCAAATTCCTATCGACAGACTGGATCGAGCATATCCTCAAAGCTTCCGATGTAACTTATGAAAACCTTGGTCCATTAATCATTCTTACAGCGATAGCGTATGTGTGTGGTCTCGAAGTTAATCGTGATCAATTGCCAAAAAGTATTGAGGATTGGTCAAACTTTTGTGAAACACAAAAACTACCTTTTAAAGATTTTGAGAATGTCGTCGACGAACAAGTATTAAAGAAGTTTCAAGGGATATGTAAAAACCAATCCTACTTTTATCATTCGAGTTTATTCTATCGTTCATTCACATCTATGAATACACTACGATTACAACTGTATTCAGTGATCAATTCTGCAAATACACCTGATGAAGCTTACGCTATGCAAAGTTACGTATCGATATTTTGGCAACAATATGAGAAAGCTAGTCAAGATAGTATCATTCAACACGCTACAGAATTTCTCTATCGATGTGTTGGACAGGATGAATCGATGAGTGAAAGAGTACGTGCATTCAGTGAATTTATCTGCAAAGCTATGAAAGATTCGAATACACTCAATGCCACGCAAGAACTTGATAAGTTACTACCGAAAAATCATGATTTAACTTCTATATTCGAAATGATTTCTGATCCAAGCAGCTTACGAAATAATATTCTATTTCAAGTATTTTCTCAGAAAACTCGAGTAATACTGACGAATTTAGTGAAACATGATTATACAGCATTGACAAATTTATTTTGGATCATAGCGTCAAAATCAGGATCAGTTTCTATTGAGAGTGCACTTTTTCAAGCAGTTTTAACAGCATCTACGCGCTGGGACACAATCGACGAACATGATAAACGACAGATATTAACTCCACTACTCTCTCATCAACCGGCATTCGTCGATTGTTTAATAGACATCTCAAATCAAAAACCAGCTACCCTGACGCAACTTCTGAATTTTTCTCAATCGATTCTATCGACAATTGATCCTTCGAAATCATTCGAATTCATCGCATCAGCCTTTCACCAGCATCATGCTTGCTCTATTTCCCAACACTTAGATAAGATAGGCAACTTCGATTATAATTTCACGCAACAAGTAGCCGCAGACATCTTAAACTTTCAACGAAAACTGAAAAACAAATATATAAATTTTAGGACAGATTATGTATACTTAATTGATGAAAATTACAGTTTTCAATATTGTGATATTCTTCGTCGATTGATTTATATGAACACAGACCAATGGGATCGGTTTGAATCCGTTATTCACACTATGTGGGACGTTTTCCATTTGGCGACAGAAGCCAATACACAATTATCTATAATAATGTATCAAGTTCTTCGACTCGCATCCTTCTTTAATGAAAATCCAATGAATTGGAATGAAATACGTCATAGGTACACACAAGTCACAATGCGATGGGACTGGTCAACAACAGTAGAATTTTTGAAAACGATTAGTTTTCAGCCGAAGCTCATCGAATTAATCGAATCGATGTCTACTACTGCCATGAACGAGAGTCTTATAGATGTTGCTATTGAGATTGGTTCTATTATCGAAGCAAATGAAGAAAATTCTTTGTTCCATCAACATGCAGAATGTTTTGATAAATTACCATCTGTTATTTCTTCGTTGAATGATCTAACACCGATTCTGACTCTTTTTCCACAAAAGATACAAGATCAGATCAACTCATACGTTAAACTCTCACAGTTGCCCAACTACACATCACTTACATCTGATGAATGTCGGTTACTGATCGATGCCATTGTATCTTCATGGTTAAGCGTATTTAGTGTAAATAATAATGACTTATTGAAGGTATTCGATATACTGTCTATCATGCTCAGCTCATTCCACGGCCTTGTTGCTACACGTTGTCATCCATTGGGTCAGGCATTGTACACGACAAATATGGCAGCTGCACTATCTGGTCTAGCTTTCCATCGTCAATGTGGTGGAGAAAGATCGGTAGATGATCAAGTGGAAAGTTCACGAATGCTCCATCCGTTGTTAACAACAATAATTCACCAACGACCTCAGAATGCTTCAATCAATTTGAATTTTTCAAATGTACAACCGTTGAATGTAGGGCATCAAGTATCTTCCAACGAAAAAGATTCATCAAGCATGGATAATAATGATGAGAAATCTAAAGATCAGTCAACAAAGGAGACGGTGAATCCATATCCTGACAACACTCTTCGACAAATGGAAAGTTCAGTGCAATATTTCATAACTAACGCTTCGATCATATCTGTTAATTTGACGGAATCTGACACGATTCGTCAAATCATCGATACTTTATTTCAGAATCATTCACAAGTGAAACAATGGTATGGTGCATTTACTACATTCAACGTACTTGTACGATACCCAACAGGAAATAGTGGTTCGAATCAAGTCCAAACCGCTAAAACAATCATCCATAGTGGCTTAAAATTACTTCAAAACTTGTCAATCGTTAAAAAAATAATCGAACCAACCTTTGGTCCAACTCTTGTTTGTCGAGAAGATATCACGCGATTAGACAAAGCTTTTCGTTCTCTGGAACTTGTGGACTATCCCAATTTATTGAGTGTCTTGGAAAGACTACAAGTATACATTAATCGTCCTACTGATGATTTCCGATTACCTTCAGTATCTGCAATGCCAAAAGGTTTCGTGAGTGATAAAACGCGACTTAATTTACTACAGCAGCTTGGCATTCAACAAGAAACAGCCGGCTCAACACACTCGAGTGAACCAACGATTGTCCAAAACAGTGAATCATTACCAACACAAGAAGATTGGAAAATAGCTATCCAAAAAACAGACATAAATCAAAAGTTAGAAGATGGTTTGAAATTAACTACAAAGAAACCGAGAAAACCAGAGGAAGGTTCATCGAAAACGAAATCAGATCTTCAACATCATATTCACAATGTGACACAAGATATGTTTACTACAACACTACCATTCTTCAGTAACGTATCAACAAACGGTGTGGATAACAACAGTAGAAGTTCGGCAACAGATGAATCAACTTCAAATATCGATCTGACGAAGCAGTTGAAGATTTTCAAAGAACATTTACATCAACAAGCGAATTTGATTGCAATGTATGATCAAATGTCTAGCAGTGATAGATCGAATTCATCTGAAGTGAAACTTGACAATCGATCGGCATTGAAAACAAAGAAGAAATCTGGACAATGGACCTATCAACAACTTGTAGAGTTTCCTCCTATTGCACGCATGATAGATATTTTTGTCGATAATTTTCGTTCAAACTGGAACACATTGGCTAGTAACATCGGTCCTACGCGTCAGCACAGAATCGATTGGTGCATTATGATTGATAATTCAGGTTCGATGAATGCACATCGAAATGCTATCTATGAAATATTGGTCGTACTGATGGAATCATTTCGAAAACTAGAAAATAAATTTGCTGTAGCACGTTTTGGTGGTAGAAAAAAACAAAAAATGTTGAAAAACTTACACGATATATTCAGTGTTCAAGATGGTGAATACGTTTTAGAAGCGTTGACATTTGATGAAGGTACTTACCCAGCCGCAGGTCTGGATAATGTTGCTCGAACTGTTTTTCCAGTTAATGAAATAAAATCATCCGACAATGTTGACATTCATCGATTCGTTCTGATGATCACTGACGGGCTTACTGGAGAAAAAAGTGATGCCAGTTACAAGAAAACAATTAATACGCACAAGATCAATCTTGGCTTTGTTTTCATCGAAACCAGTCAGTTAAATACAAGTCAAGTATTTTTACGTGGATTCAAAGAAGCATTGAACTGTATTGTCAAGGCAGACGATATTAATCAACTATCAAACGCAGTACCAAAACTGATTGAGAAAATGGTCAAACATTGTTTAGAACAACAACCACAAAGTTCAACAGTGATCGATTGGCCGAGAATCAAATGTAAAATACCCAGTTCGAATGAAACATCAGCTGGGCACTTATCTAATGATTCTAAGCTTAAATACGATGCTGAAAATCCTAGTTCTTATGTAATCAGTGATCCAGGATCTTCAATACCTCAACTGTCCAGGGTACATGAATCTTCTCAAATATCAAGATTTCATTTGATTTTGATTTTTTTAGGTACAATTGCAATTAACGAATTATTTGACGCGATCGAATCATGATTCACATGGTGTACATGAGGCTTTGGATGATCTTCGTAAATATTATCAAAACTTGAAAACAAATCCGATAATGCAAGATCTAGAGAAAAAATGGATTGCACACGAACATGAGTTATCGACTTTGATTGATGATGTTTCGAGTGTTCTTGGAGATGTTGTCTTTCCTTACAATAAGTTTACACGACGAAAAGGAGCTCTTCGAGGTTCAGCTATTTATCTACCAGGTGTTATCAAAGCCATGACAACCGAATGGAGCTATAAAAAGATTTTCAGTGCTAAGTTAGCCGGTGGAAAACGTGATCATGCCATTTGTTTTGTCTTGGATGTTTCGATATCCATGTTTGGTTCATTGAGTATTGGTCTTTTGAAAACAATCGTTGTCATGATGGCTGCACTAAGAAAACTGGATTTGAACAATGTCAGTATCATTGTTTTCGGTAGTGAAATCCGTTTGATCAAAGCCAATGATTACAGTTGGGACATGAAGAGTATTTACACACTTATGCAAGAGCTTCGATTCGATCTTGACAATGATACGAAGGATGCCGATGCTCTTGAAGTTGCGATTGATCTACTCGATCAAGCAAACACAAGAGGTGAAAAGAAAATTTTTATTATTACCGATGGTTACAGTAATTGCGGACATCGATTAGCACTCGTTCAACAACGTGCCGATGATCATGGTATTGATTTGGTAGCGATGGCAATCGGTATCGATCAAGCAAATCTTAAACAATTCTACAAAAGATATCTTCAATGTGCAACCGTTTTTGGTTTGCCAAAAGCATTGAGATCATTGTTTGAAAACGAAAATCAAGTGATCGGAACCAGTTGGACTCCACAAAAACTGTACGATGAAGAAGCCGCAAAGATTGAAAACAAAGAAAAACTTCTACAGTCGATTGAAACAGAGAAAGCCTTCGCTGAAATGGTTGAAGAATTGGCAACTCAACGTCAAACGATGATATCTCAAAATGGATCACCGTTATCAAGTATTGCTATTGACATTTGTTTCTGTCTCGATTGTACGGGTAGTATGTCACGATGGTTAGAAGCAGCTAAACAGCAAATGTCTCAAATAATCAAAGGAATCAGCGAAGGTGTCAAAGAAAAATATCCTTCGATCGAATTGAAACTTTCCTTTGCAATCGTCAGCTATCGTGATGTCAACGATGGGGATCGGTTTAATCATCTCGATTTCACAGACAACAAAGATAAAGTCATTCAATTTATCAATCAATTAAAAGCACATGGCGGTGATGATTTACCTGAAGATGTTCTGGGTGCCCTAGATAAATGTTTGAACATGAAATGGCGTCAAACCGATGCTCGTTTCATCATTCTCATCACTGATGCACCTGGTCATGGACCTGAACTCAATAACGATCTTAACAACGATAATTTCAAGACAGTAAGTCAATCACACAGTAAGATTACAATCTACATTCTCTTTTTTTGTAGGGTGTTCTAGGACACACATTGAAGAGTATTTGTGATCGACTTCTTGATCAAGAAAGAGGAGTTGATTTGATGCTTTGTCGCATTAAAAAGAATGAAACTGAGAAAATGGAACAGGCATTTGCTTCTGCTTACGGAGCCAAGCAAGGCGAAACCGATCGATCTTTTCGAGCTATCGATTTATTTGATAGTCCACAAATCGAGTCGCAGTCTATTCATTTTGTTTTCGTTCTTGACGAATCTGGATCGATGGGTTCTCACTGGGGATCATTACAACAAGCGTATCAAGGTTTTCTTAATCGTCGTAAGAATGATCAAGCTGGAGATGATTTTATCTCAATTGTTCAATTCGCTAGTAGTGCACGTATCACTCGTGAACATAAAACTGTTCTCAGTAATCCAGCGCTTGAACAGATGAAAGGAGGAGGCACGAACTACAGTGCCGGTTTGACGCAAGCAGAACAATTAATACAACACGATGGAAGCAAATCTTTGATAACGATCATATTTATGTCTGACGGCGAAGACGGTGGTGACGGTAATCCACCACAAATGATAACTGAAATGAAAAGAAAGTTCAAAGACAAACACAATATCATTTGTCATACAGTTGGTTTTGGTTCAGGCATACAACCTGGAACGAGATCAGCAACGTTGCTCCAACAGATGGCAACGAACGGTGAAGGTAAAAGTTATTCAGCTAACACAGCGATCGATCTTCAAGAAGTCTTCGGAAAAATTGCTGCGAATAGTACAACAAGTGATGAACTCATCGAGCGATTCTCCGAGATTCTTGCTAAGAACATTAGTATGAAAATAACTGATGATTATTTTTAAGCCACTTTCTTTATTTGCTCATTTAATCATGATTTTCTTTGAAACAAAATAAAAATCAAGAGATTAAACAACAGATTCAAAGCGTAGTTGAGTATGAGTGAATGTCTCATTCTCACTTTCACACCATATCCTCCAGTTCACCTGAAAAAATATGGGCAAAAAAATTGGGTGTGGGTGTGATGTGAGGGTGTGGGTGTGATGTGAGGGTGTGGGTGTGATGTGAAGGTGTGGGTGTGATGT